TAAAATATATGTGTTTATATATATATATATATAGTCTAAGTATAATATATGTATATATATATTTAGTCTAAGTATAATATATATATATATATATATATATTATTTATGTATATATATTTTGTGTATTTTTATCAAACTATAAACATTTCTAGCTTAGCAGCCATCCATTGTAAGGTTATATGATCACCTATTATTTAACTACAAACTACAGTCATGACAGATGACTCTGTAATATTTCTTCACAGGGTTGACTCAACAAGCCCGGCCCCAGATGTGGATCAGAGTGTACCAAAAGTTTTGTTCACTCTCTACCCAAAGTCTCAAGTCTCCAGACTAGAAGCTGTGAGTTACTTCTTCAACAAATTTTTATATCAGAAAACAACCACACAAAAAAACACCTACTTGCAAACCCCACCAACATTTGGCCATGCACAGTCGTATTGTAAAAGCATATTGTAAAGTTTGTTGGTTATACACACACTTAAAGATTACATAAGTTAGGTCATGGTCAGTTTTTATATCCATACATATTTTGTCTAAAACTTCTTCCCATTGGACTTGTCATTTGCTCTCAATGAATCCATTAACTTTTTAATACACTTTTTGATGTTTTTTTAAAATAGTGTTTGAAATATCTGCGTGTCACTAACCATAGAGCCCATGTTATTAAACCTTTTTTTATATGTGTAATTTTTTGCAACTAAAAAGAACAGCATTTAAAAAAATTTCCTCAATTTAATAACCACTCTCATGTGAACGAAATAAAAGGTTTTGCCCTGGAAGATAAAAAAACATTTTTACTTTACAATTTTCTTGTGAAACAGATTGTCAAGAAACTCGGTGGCATGACAGTTACAAACCCTCGCCATTGTACACACTTGGTCTGCCCCAGCCTCGTCAGGACCATCAAGTTTTTCATTGCCATAAACACGTGCCGTTACGTTGTGACCAAGGAGTGGCTCGAAGACAGCATGAGCCAGGACAGATTTTTAGGTACTGCATCTTGCGATATTTTTTTTTTTTTTGCCAGCGGAATCATCAAATTTAAAAATTTGTCAAAACAGTTTTATTGATGAGTTTGTCATGTTCAAAGTATCCTATTGATTTGATTTCATATGATGCATCATGTTAATAGATTTTTTTTCAAATGTAGTTAAATAAATTGATATACTGCGTGTGTTAAAATATCAAAGTAGTGACAGCAACTGAAAATGTAAATGCAAAATATGCTATAACTATAATAGTACACACATTTTTTTTTTAAAATCTTCAGATGAGTCAGATTATGTCCTTAAAGATGAGAGTGGAGAGGCTGCGCTGCACTGTAATCTGGCAGAATCTTTAAGGAGGGCCCAGAATAGACCTCTCTTTCAGGTACGGTCATATCTTTTAGTTCAAGCAAAGCTGATGATTTTCTACTGGTTTCACCATTAACTTTGACATTGGTGTTGGTTGAATAGTTTCCAGCAACAGCTGATCATAACTCTACCATTTTCTCCCTTGCTTGGAACCCGTCACATCGAACAAAGAATAATGATGATCTTGTTGTATTCATGTGTTTGATTTTAGGGACTGACGTTCTACATCAGCCCAAGTGTGGTGCCCCCAATTTGTGAATTGATGAGCATAATAGACAGTGCTGGCGGGGTGTTGGTGAAGAGGAGACCATCAGTCAAACAGATTGTTGCTTCCTTGGATGAAAAGGTTTGCATTTATTTTATGCATGAAAAAAATGAAAAGTATATCTGTCTTTTATTTTGTGAAACATAGGGTGCCATACTTTTAACATGGGGTGCACTAATTTTAACATGAGGTGCACTGCTTTTAACATGTTGCTCTCATGGGTAATATGTGGCTTATTTGATTAGTGTGTTATTAATTAGTGTTTTATTTTCAGATGTGTGTTTGTTGTTCGAAAAAAAAAAATTTTTTTTTTGCTTCTGACATAACTTAGTTTTATTTGCATTATTTTTAAAGCCCTTTTTTAAATCTTTTTTTTGTTGCTTTTTTTAAATAGCATTATTTAAAATTTATCAATTTTAAATTACAGATTCAACAATGGTTATATTGCTAGCATTTAAATTCTAGAAAAGTTACAGAGAATATCAGAGCCTCAGATATAATACTTATACATTTTAGTTATATTTTTTCATTGTTCTCAGGGCCATCCGAAAATAATTGTTATTACGTGTCTGAACGACTTGCATCTTTCAACGGATCTACGGAACAGAAAATTACGTAAGTCTTTAATATTTTTAACCTTGGCCTTATGTACTAGTGTTGTATTGATTTCATGAAGGAGGTAAAGTGGCCCAGTCATAAAGATAAAGATCATTTAAGATCAGTCTCACTAAAGCAAAAAAGGAGGAGTTGTGATTAAATAATACTTCTTCAAATATTGAAATATAAATTTTGTTTTAATTTATTAAATTATTTTTTTACCTCTCATGAGATTTTTTTTGGGTGAAAAAGGCCAATGAATAGTTTTGTCAAATGTGTTAATAAATGTACTGAAAAGTTTCCTTGGAGTTGTATTCATGGGATAATCAAATGACTTCTCTTTGCGTTTCAGCCATCTTCAATGCAGAGTTTATTTTAACTGGAGTAATGAGACAAGAACTTGATTTCAATACTTTTAGAATAATGGCCACTCAGTGAGAGGACAAGATTTTAAATAGAGGGCATCTCATCCGATCTAAACGGTGGCATGACAATTTGCTTTCAAATAACTTTGTTTATAACTTTTTTTTAATAACTGGAACACATTTGTCTGTTCTTTAATTGTGGTGCTGTTAAGCAAAGTGAGTCAAACTGAGCCAAGAGACATGAGACTCAATGTCGAAAGCAATGAAATGCCAGTTGTAAGGAATTCAGAGTAAATGAATCGAGTAAAAAAAAAAATACTTGTTAACTGAAATCAAGGCGTGGTGTTCACAATCTACAAGACTTTCCGTCTGTGTAAAATGATTTTACATTTATGTTGTTATTCGCTCCAGTTTGTAGGCGATGATCAAACATACACACAAAGAAAGGCAGGGCTGGATGTAGACTGTCCCTGAATCACTGGTTTTGACCATTCATTGGTTGTGGAGATAAGCTGCACATGATAATGCTTCCAATATTGAGCTAACCGTACTACTTCCCTTGTCTCTCTGCCACTGCCCTTACATATCTCTGCCACTTTCCTTATCTCTGCAACTCCTTCATCTTTGCCACTTTCCTTTTCTCTGCCACTTTCCTTACCTCTTCTTTGCCACTTTCGGTATCTCTCTCTGCCACTTCCCATATCTCTCTCTCTCTCTGCCACTTCCCATATCTCTCTCTCTCTCTCCCCCTTCCCATCTCTCTCTCTCTCTCTCCCCCTTCCTATATCTCTCTCTCTCTCATCTCTCTCTCTCTCTCTCTCTCCCCCTATCTCTCTCTCTCTCTCTCTCTCTCTCTCTGTCTCTCCCTCTCTCTCTCTCTCTCTCTCTCTCTCTCTGCAACTTTCTCTCTCTCTGCCACTTCCCATATCTCTCTCTCTCTCTCTCTCTGCAACTTTCTATATCTCTGCCACTTCCCATATCTCTCTCTCTCTCTCTCTCTGCAACTTCCTATATCTCTGCCACTTCCCGTATCTCTCTCTGCCTTTTCCCTTATCTTTGAGGAAAATAATGTTTTGGCCCCTACATGCCAACTGAAGTGCTGCTAAGCTAAGACACAATGAAGAGGAAGTTTTTTTTAAATAACTTATCTGTCAGAGCTAGAAGTACATTTTCTAAGATAATTTGTTCAAAATGTATATTTTATAACAAGTTTTTTTGTGATATTTTTTAAAACCTCTTCTGGATACATATGCCATTCACTAAGTTGTCACTCTTTACTGAGCTCTCTACCGTAGGGAAACACTCTGGTAAGGGAGTGATGTAAAAATAGGTCAGAATCACCTCCTTGATAAAAACTTCCTGTTGCCAGGGTAGTCATGCACCCTGTTGCTCTAAGAACAAATTGCAAATGGAATTTCATCTCCCTCTGCCTTATCATGTATCATTGTTTTCAAACAGATGGTCACAGCTAACAATTGTTTGGATCAGTATTAATTATAAGTTCTAGTAATGATCCGCCAAATGGTAAATGACAGATTTAGCAGATGATGCACAAACTTTCTAACATTTTTATTTTTACATCATGTTCGTTTTCAGTTTCCCATAGAAACTCCCATTTTGACAGAATGAAATTTATCATAGATATAGATATTTATACTACCACTTTGTTAAAAATTAATGCAAAGTTTTGTAGATTATCAAAGAGTTTAAAAATGGATTTCCATAAATATTCTTATAGGCTTACTATATGTACTTCCAAAAACCATTTTTTAAGAGAAGCAAGTATAAAGTTATTTGAAAAAAATTGAACATAATCAATTTTTCCTTGCAATGGTAAAAGTAATCAATTATACTATACAAGAATTCAATTGTACAAATATTGTAAAGCTGAAATACATAATGGGGACGTACACTGTGCAGTAATTAAGATTAGGTAGTTAATTCTAGTTTTAAATCACATGATTAAATATGCCATTATTTTTTTTAAATGGTGATAATGATGTGCTTATCAGATGCTTAACCATCAGAAAGTGTATATGTACATATTATAGTTGGTGGCATTTTGTCAAGACTAGCCCTATTACACTGCATTGATGATGTTATTAAATGTACTGTTACAAAGCAAAACTTGAAGAATGCAAATTGCTACGCTGTTGATTATGTAAATACCACAAATTGTATCTCCAACTTTTTTATGTCACTCAATGATCTGAAGGCAGCAAAATGAAATAAAAATAATTTTTTTTTTTTTTTTAAAGGGATAACCCATAAAGAATGGAAAAAAATTTTTTTTAAATATCCTACCTGTCCGAACCAAACTCAGTTTCCCATACCGGTATTCAAAGAATGGTGTGCTTTCATAGTGATTATAATATAGGAGATGGTGTTGCCCTCAGTGAAACTTTTGGTGAGTTTCAACATACAAGAAATTTAGGTGCTGTCCTCACTGAAACTTTTGGTGAGTTGCAACATCATAATGGTAAACTGTTGTTTTGATGTTGGTTTTTTTTATGCGGCTTAAATAATATTTTTATGAGAACCAACTTTATACCAAGGTTGGAAACAGAATAAATATGTAGTTTATGCTTGGTTTTTATTGTTTGTCACTTAATGCGGTTTGAAAGCTTAGAAGATTATATTGGTCTTGATGTGTTTATTTTAGTCTGTAATATTGGTCTTGATGTGTTTATTTTGTCTGTGAATGCAGTTTCAAAACTAAGGAGATTATATTGATCTTACTGTGGTTCTGAATGTGTGGACACCAGCAAATGTAATGAAAGTAAATGACTATGAACAAGGAGTATTACAGATCTTTTGGTCAAGGTTTAATTAAATTTACAATAATTTGTCAGAATCAGATTGCTTACAATACTAAACAATAGTCTTATCGACTCGTTACAATAGTGAGTCTTAGTGACTCGTCGCAATTGTGCGTCTTAGGGACTTGTCAAAATTGTGAACAAAAAAACAGTCAAGCTATTTCATGTTGACCGGCAATGGTAAATCTTAATTTTCATTCTTATATAACAAATAAGCACAATGACCGTTACCGGCTTTTATTTATATGTAAATGAAATTGATTATTTAAATGTAAAGCTTTTAAATTTATCATACTTACCATTTCGAAACATAAATATACAATATACAGGGATTATCTTCCTTGAAAAAAAAAAATTTTAACAAATATTTGATTTTTTTAAAAATTGTCGTGAAATTAATAATATGTTTTGATGTTAATTTAGAAAATTTAAAAGGCCTACCGCGTTAAAAGTAAAGAGGTCTTAAAACAAAATTCTATTTTTGTCCTTCATTAATGTTTTAATAATTTTTTTTAGATTGTATGAAATCGTCACTTATTACTAAATGATGAAATGAAAATGATTTGTGAGTTATGAACAGTATAGATAAAGAACACAAAGTATTACTAATTTAACAAAAGATTGAGTAATCCAGGTATAAATAAACAAAACTTAATTTCAAATTCATCCAATTTAGCATCACTATTTTACTATAATATTTAAGTTTAGAAGAATAACTCACAAACAAAAATTTCTGTGAAACCACAAATAAATGTTGTTGTTTTTTATTTTGTACAAAAGATTTTAAATTCCCTGATTTTTAACGTGGGGGGGGGGGGGTCAACTGATATATCGACCATTTAAAGTTTCCTACATGGTTAATCAGCTGCTGAGAAGTATGCTGACTGGGACTGGGAAACAACTTTTCTCCATCAAAAAGGGAAACAAATCCTACCAATTCTTTGTAGTTACGTTAGAGGGTTATATTTGTATATGTATGTAACTCCAGCAAAGTTACACAATATTCTCTTGGAAATGGACGGATATAAAAAAAACTTCATTGTTCTTTGAACCACAACTGATTTTGAACAGAAATTATAATCATACCTTTTTATGTCTAACAATACACACACAAATGACCGGTCATTGTCTTCAGATGAAAGACATTTCAAGAAAAAATTATTTTTTTTCTTTAAATGTTTGAAACAGTGTTACTAACTATAGAGCGGCAGACAACTCTTCAACTGCGTCATAGGACTGGCAATAAGGTAATGGAAACACAAAAAATTTCAATTACGAAGAACTTCAAAACGATTAGACATTTAGTCAGCTATTACTTTTGTAATGCATTCTGTGCCCACTTCCTATTAATTTGATTCGTTTCCTCCTTTAAAAAAAAACAACAAAAAAAATCATTTAGGAAGGAGGTAACAACAATGCCTCATATTAACTAAAGCAAATGAGACAGGGGCCTTGCACCTTTTAGCCCCAGCCCCCCCCCCCTTTTCGCGCGATAATTTTTTTTTAAACGTGTGGATGCATGGGCGCCGGCCGAAAACTTTCGGGGGGGGGGGGGGGAAAAAAAAAAAAAAAACTTCCCGGGGGGGGGGGGAAAATTTTTT